GGAGACGTGGATAAGAGTACCATGGGCGAAAAGTACCCAAGATGTTCCTCGAAAGCAGAAGCAGGCTGTCTTCCATCACATTCATGTACATGAAAATATGAAGCCGTGTGAAACTGCAGACTGATTGTAGAAGTCCTATGAAATTCAAGTCATCTCCAAACAGCTGCGAAACTTCTTGTATGGAGTCACTCATGGACCAGCTACCTGGGGACCGGTACTCTTGATTTAGGAGACCTCCAGCATCGAGCAGCCCGACAACGTCGCCATGGTCCACGACATCATCTTTTTTGTAATAGCCAAGGGCGGGCTGGAAGTTCCTGGAACTGGGAAGACCGATATTTTCTTCGTGGACCCCGGACTGAAAGTGAACGCTGACTGTTACATCGAACAGCTCGAGGAGAATATCCTGCCTTCATGTCGCCTGTACCATCTTGGAAACTTCGTACTGCTACACGATTGGTGCCAGCACTTGGATTCACAAAAACTCCTTCTTGGAATCGGAAGGCGTTGGGAACCTGGAGAAGGCGGAAAATCCATGTTAGTCACCTGAGCTAACCCTTCGATTACCGTGTTCGGGCGGTGCTCAACAGGATGGTCTACAGCGGCGGAGGAATCAACAACCTCGCTGACTCAGGAACGAAACACGGTGTGGCAGAATCCTTGGTCGCGTTCGTCCAGAAGGCGGAGTTTCGTGATCGTGTGCAATGTTTTGTTGAATTCTGATGGTGAAAATGTCCATTCAGAATTTAATAAAGTGTACTTTATTTCGCATTGAATGTCGAAGAAGAACTGTTTTTGCTGGCAACCGTACCGTACCTAAGTTGTCAAAGTACACAATTTCGTGAAAATATTGACAAGCACCGCAGACGAGCGCTGGTCTGAAATGTGTTACTAAAATCATCTGATACTAATTTTGTTAATCTTTAAGAGAGGTTGGCATCTACGATCGTGTTGTTGTGCAGGAAGTTGTCAAACAAATGGCCCAAACTGCTCAAATCGCAAGTGCTACACAGAAAAGCTTCAAAGGTGTGTTTCTTACTCTGTGAATGGTGGTACTTTTGACAATGTGTGATCCGTGCTGTAAAGAGGTTATCAAGTCAGTAGGCTCATATTCCGAAGCAGTTTTGGTACCAAATAGGCCATCAGATTCACACTAAGATTTGTTGACGTCATTTACAATTGTGTATGTGTTGGCTAATGCCGTTTGGACTCCAGCAACTTCGGCACCGAGCTCATTTTTAAATTGCCTAAGTTACCAAATCCGCTAAAAACTTGTATGTAGGGGTAGTTTAACATCCTGATTACGAATATGACATTCACTCTTGCCGCTGGCGCTAATGGATGACACTACGATTACCTGCGCTCCGCTAAGGCTGAGCCCAAGAGGTAATCGTAGTGTCATCCCTTGGCGCCAGCGCCAAGAATGAGTGTCATAATTGTAATCAGGATAGTAAATAGACTCTTGGTGTACATATTTTCAGGCGGTTTTGGCAACGTAGCGTACATTTACAAATAAGAGCTCGGTGCCGAAGTTTGCTGATCCAAACGGCATTAGCCGTATGTGTTCAATCACTACACAAAGCAGTGGGGTTTATACTTGTAAAACTTGCAGATTTATAGATTGTCTTCTGTTCTTCGTGGCACGCATCGCGGAAGAATTTCACTTTTCATTTGTGATGTTTTTAATGTTCTTACTGAGAGCTCTTTCAGTGGTCGTCCTCATGGAAGCAGATCAATTGACCAGAGATGCTCAGCATGCCCTTCGACGTACTATGGAGAAATATTCGATGACTTGTCGTCTAATTCTTTGCTGCGAATCTCTGAGTCTCGAATATGGTCGTTGAAGCCAGATGTATGCGATTGTTAGAGTGGCGCCCTAACGATGAAAGAGGTGAATCTGAAAGTCCTTAAGCCTTTTTTTGGCGCTGTTTGTCGACGGGGGGGGGGCATTTTGCACTATCATTGCTTCCTCAGTTCCGGTTTACATGTCTCACTCTGGCGAAACCTGTGAACTCTTGTGAAGCTGGAACAGTGTAATCAAGCCATCATGTTAAAGACAGCTCCCGCGATAAAAGTCTCATGGGATGCCTGCTTCCGCATGAAACAGCAGCTGAAAGTAATCTCCCAAAGAAGAAAACAGGCAAGAAGCGTTCTCCAGAACAACATAAACAAAATCGCTCCCTCACAGTTACACTTCCTGCGGTCTCTGTGCAGCCCCTAGCTCACAAATCTCTCTATCACATCTCGCAGTAGTTGATATCATCTAGTGCAAAAGAAAGAATACAAAAGAAAAGCAACAAAAACGCAGAGGAAAAACTCTGGGAAGGAAAAAGGATTCTATCCAACGACGCGTGTCTGAATTTGTGATTACGGTAGGCGCACCTTTTGTGCGTCGTGGTTTGCATCACGAAAATTGCGTCACTCGTGTTTTTTTTACGCGTTTCACCTCGCGAAATGGATTGAATTGAATGTATATACCTCCAATGAGTAAACTGTAATGAAGGAGAGCAGAATTATCCAGAGGCATTAGCAATGCCCGCCGCCCAACTAAGAACAAGTGAGTGGCCTCCGTCGATACATCTAGCAAGCACGCGCGTCGACTGAGGGAGTTAGAACTAGCACTTTGAGCGGCTATAGCAGCCTCCACGCTCACAATAGAGTCGCGAAAGGTGAACAGTCTTCTAGCTTGGAGGCTAGACTACTTGCACAGCAAAGGCGACCACGAGCCACTTTGATCGCGGGGCTGTCTTTAAAACCTGTCAACTCGAGAAGAGGCTGTCTCGATAGGCCGACACGTCGATGGGAAGTAGCGAAAGTGCAAAATGCTCCCCCCCCCCGTCGACAAACTGCCATTTTTATGAGACATTCTTCCTCTGCTCAGAACTATAGGGATTATTAAATGGAGGTAGCCTACGAAATGATTTATGTAGGCCAGCCAATGTATAAGTAATTTTTGTCCCCAGGCGAATCTGGTATAAGCTTACCGTTCAAGAAAATAGAAAGAAAACTGGTTGACCTAGGTATAAAAGGATCTGGGGCCGTATGCTATACTTCCTCGCAGGGAAGCACACCCCCTGTAAACTCCCGCTGTCGTGCGGCTTATCTCTATCAATGCCCATCGTCTCTCCGCTTCAGCCCCTCTGCGTCTCTCTTCCCCCCTCCCATCCCCCCATTCACTCGGAATCTAAAGTAGCACACTGTTGCGGGAGAGGGGAGCGCACTTCAGTAGATTTGTCTGTTCAGATGTTATGTTCCTCTGCGAAACTTACCCTGTTTTCTGGGGTTGTAAGGGCATTTATTAGCATGGCCGCCCTCTGCATAATTTCACGTGGCGGGTGGCGCGACAAGAGATGGTAAGCCGCTATATTTTGTTTCTAAACACTTCTTATTCAGTACAGGATAATTCGCTTCGATAAGAAAAGCAAAATAAATACGCGGAGGTGATGCCAGAAAAAAAACGTTTGTGGCGTCCGAAGGTAAGGGCTCTCTACATACGGGTGCGAGTCTGGCAAGAAAAATCAACTATCGAAAAAAAATCTTAGCATGAATACGACCCCCCCCCCCTTCTCCCAGCGACCAAATGTGACTCCCTTGTTTGGGGAATCTCCAAACAATCGTGTCCCTGATATCGTAAATGTTGGAATGCTTCGCCGTCTTTTTGGTGGCACTCATTGGTGAGTTCATCTGGTGTTCGGCCTAAACTGTGATACCTCGTTCTAATTTTGAGCCTCTGTTTCAGCGTCTCGCGATGTGTGTATATCCAGTCGGTCAGAAAGGGTCAGACTTACGGTCGGATTCTGTTCTGGCCAGGTATAGCATTATGCTAACCCTACCGTAACTGATATGCGACTAAAGTCTAATTTAAGATAGTGATGAAAGCACGAGGAAATCTGCGACGTGCATTGTTATCTATGGAAGCGGTGAAAAGGAAGGGAGTACCTATCAAAGACCTGAAAGTAGGTACTGCTGAGTGCACCACAGTCTTTTGAACTTCTCGCGAGCAACTGCTTGGATTCTAAAGGTGCCTGAACCAGAATGGGAGATCTACCTTCGAGAAACTGCCGATTTGATGATCAAAAAGCAAAATAATGAAGAACATCCTCGCAGTAAGTACTGGGTGGCTTTCGCCAGTTCTTTCTTGAATTACTTTTTCGAGAAAATATTTTTTTGTTGTCCTTTAAGGTGCGAGAACGCTTGTATGAACTGATCTCTCGTTGTATACAACCGAATCTCATATTTTCGGTGAGTTTTCACAGTGCTTCTTCAGTAGTTTAGGAGGATTGGGATGCAGCGCATGGTAAGCGGTACTTTTTTCTGCTCGTCTGAGCCCTTCCATCAAGGGATGTCCGCCTTCGACTACTCAGGCTGAGACCAGAAGGACGCAGGCGAGCATAAGTGAACTGCTTAGTTGCCACCTGATTCTCCTTCGAATATCTTGATACCGTTTCAATGATGGTTTGTACATTGTTCGGTTTTTCCTCGGTCGATGTGAGAAACGGTCGTACAGCCTTTCGCCGCGGAGAAACCGTGTCAGGAGAGATGGGTTTGGCGTGATACTGTGCAGTAGCGTTCGTATCAGTTGTTTTCCACCAATCGTTATCGTCCCGCTTATTACCAACACCTGGTAGAGAACGCGCCAAACCCAGCTCTCTGACACGCCCATCATTCACTGTATACGTAGCTCGTGCATGTGTTTACTGATGCTTCTTGTGTTGCAGTCTTTTCGGTTGGCACTGAGCTAGAAGACCATCCGTCATTATGCCACGAATTTTGGCGTGTAATCTAACCCATTGACCGTTTAGTATCTACTTCGAGAGTTGCTGAAGCGCACTCCGTCATCAGCTAGGCGGGAAGTGATCGAGATGGCTGCTCTCTATGAACATCGGCTCACAAGAGGACAGAAGGCCATTATTCACCTCGAAGCTTTTGTTGTCGCATTCATGGACATCTATCTGAACAGCATTAACTCTAACGCGGTGGAGACCTAAGCAGTGCAATTTTTGTTATTGACCAAATTGAAAGGTAGAGTGGATCGTTTCCGTACCGTTACAACATAATGTGCTGCCTGAACCATTCCTCATTCACGGTTGTCTTTTCTCGAACTCACAATTCTCATACATTTTCGTATGTTTTATAATCAGCTCCAATGCAGCAATTATATGTGTTGAATACCATATGCCGCTTTCTACGAGTTTTACCTACCGGTTGATCTCCAATAAATTTTCTCATTCCATTTTGTTGGTCATGCGTGCCTCCGTGAAATAGGATCCATAACTTGTACGGCTTTGAGAACTGTACGGCCTCGATCATTATCAGGACACGTCTTAGACCTGGTAGTGCTCAGCGAAGGGTCGCATTTTGTCGCTGGAAGGTGGGGAGGTCGTTTTCTGCAAGAGCTTTCCGCAGCGACGGCGCGCCATGCATCAGGTACGGTCGTACATTTGTGGGCGGGCTGGCGCGGTGGGCGTTCGGGTCGGTATGTTGCAGCTTGATAGGACCTATAACGGTACCTTCCTTGAAAAACATGCTACGCAGCACCAGCTTGGGGTCTTGCCAGGCGTGTTAATCCTGCTTGTCTTGGGATTAAGCGCGCCAACTGCCTTTAGACTCCCTCGGACCACGTGTTTTGAAAAGTCTTGAAAATGGAACTCTTCATCGCCTCATTGGTGGGCCCCCTCGGCTCCAATCCACGCTCCACCACTCGCGCTATCGTTTGCTGAGTATGAAGACCATGCGTAGTGCTACTGCCAACAGATCTTTGACTTCTTTCAACATTTGCTTCTTGTTGTCAATCAGCAATACTTTTTCCCATATTATGCATACAGATTTTGAAAGGATACGCATAGACGATCGTCGTGCATAACATGAACGTAGCTATGTCAATGTCCTAAATGTAAAAAAAAATGGTTCTCGCCTAGAGAACGTGCCCTTGTAGTGGAGCGCGACATGTGAACAGTAGAGGATTTACAATGGTGCAGCAGGAACGCCCTTTAATCAACATCTGATCCCCCTTCCTTACTACAGATTTTCAAGCGTGAGAAGGCTGCACCATATCATCAAGGACCGCAGTTGCGACATCAGAATGGGTAAAGTTGAATTAGTCCGGATGAGTCCTTAACACCCGGAAGAGGCATAACTGCGGAGTCATGGGTGGCACTGAAAAGGAGAATTACATTGCTTGTACATGTCAGTTTGTCGCACGGAGAGCTCGAATGTTACCACCGACAGGACGTCTCCACTCCAATTGTTGGGTTCCCTCCTTATTTTGCTTCAGTTGCGACCGCCGCCTCCTAACAAATCACATAACAGGCAGACTTGCGAAAATTTTTTTGATTGATGAATTTCCCGTACCCTCACGCTCGACATCATTTCATGCATTCTAAAACCAAATACTTCAATGGACGACCTTGATTCCGTTGACATCAAAGGAAAGAAGTTCACACACTGAGCCTCTAATACTCGGCATAGCGGTAAGAAGTGATAAAAATGTAGCGCAGATGGTATCTTATCTGTTTTTATCGATTGATAAGATTACCTGTCACCCGTCATCAATGTCCTCATCACTAAATCTCTATGATTTGGTAGCGTGAACCACCTTGAACAGCGACGACGACTGCAACTTCCTTATCAGCCCCTATCAGTAGTTATCGCTTCCAGTCACCCACGGTTGATGTCCCCATCTCACCCTCTATATCACTTGCTGAAACCGCGCGCCTCGCTGATGCTGTGACCTGCGCTGTGACGATGACCTCACCTTTCTAACGCCCCTTATCGAATCTTATCAGCAGCTTACAGTTCTTGTCACCCACCAATAATGTTCTTGGCCCATACCCTATATCATATCTTGGAATCAAGAGCTAGCTGATGCTGTCACCCGCGTTATGAATATGGTGACCTCCCCCTTCTAACGCCTCTTATCGGATCTTATCAACTGATATCACTTCCTGTCACCCACCAATAGTGTTCCCGTCACACTCCCTGCATCAC